ACACACACACACACACACACACACACACACACACACACACACACACACACACACACACACACAACAAGGCAGACAGCAGGCCTAAATTCATCACCACCTTTCATCCTTTCATTCTCCTCCCCTGGCCTATCTGATCAATGATAGCATTAATAATAACTGCTGCAGAGTGCCCTGTCGCCCTCTGTGCCTTGCCCACTCACAGTCCTGCACAGATTACCACTGGCCATCCACAGCCCATTAAAAACTCTGTTTACTTATCAGTCTCTCTGGGGCCATCAGTCAGTTTTCAGGACGGATGCCCAATGGGAAGGCGAAGGAGTGACCTTCCTGTAGCCCTCAGTGATGTAAGGCAGTGCTCCCAAATGGTTTGTTCTGTAATTCTCTGCCCAAACTCTGCTGAAGTCAATGTCAGTGCCTTATAATAAGACGAAGCAACACAACTCGGAGAATGCAGCAAGGTGGTGGAAAGGTCTTTTATTTATATTACTMTTGTTCCTAAAAATATTTTTATACAGTTTTGAGAAACACTGGTTTTGGAAATTTATAAGTTTTATTTATTCAAATGTCAAAAGTGTATCATATCGAATCACAGCCGTGGACCTTTCTGGGTAGTTTGCATGATCTTGCTGTCCGGGCGTGGTTTTTTTCGGGTATTCTGGTTTCCTCCCACAGACCAAAAACATTAAGGTTAAGCTATTTGGTAACTTGTCCCTAGGTGTGGGTGAGCAAGTGAATAGTTGTTTGTGTTATTTGTCTCTTTWAGAGTGTACAGATCAGTGTTTGTCTCCCCGTGTGATTTTGTTTCATTTTAGTGTTCTCTTTATTTCKTCTCCTCAGTGACTACCTGCCTCTGTGTTCTTCCCCAGTCCTCCCCTGCACACCTGATCCTCATGTGGTTCCAAGTTGTGTACTCGTTTGCTCACCTTTAAATTCTGTTTCCTGACTTCACTCCCCTGTCAGGTCATTGTGCTTTCCACAGCCAGWTTTTTATTKGTCCTTCTTGCTTTTCCTTTGAGTAAATTTTTCWGCAAACCTGACATAGAGATGGGATAAATGGCTGTTTAAAGGGATCGTATCTTGAGGAGCCATTCAAAAGAGCCATTCCATTTTGAATGAGTCACATCATCACATTGGGAAATACATCATCAATGGGCGGAACCATTTGTTTTGTCAAGAGGAAATCCCACCTCTTTTCCCCCTGAACAGCTGTACTCCACCGGATRCCCACAACTCAGTTCGTATCATTTGTTGTAAAGAGSCATTCAAAAGTCACAGCTCTATATGTGACCCTGTGATAGACTTGCAATAGTAACAAGACAAAMTCATAAATACAATTAATTTACAGTCAATTTATTCCAATAAGCATATATTACACAATAACAGTTTGTAGTTGTCTATCTGAAGAATACAACTAAATGAAGATTCAGTGCAATCCTTAACCTGAACAAGCAGTTTTAACACTTGAA